CCCTCCTAACAGGATGGAAGGTGGGGAGAGATTAAGGAGGCAAGTGTCAAGAACAGTAGATGCAGTCTGGGGACAAGAGGAAGACAACTTTGTCCAAGATTTACTCAAAGTGCCTCCTATATACCCAGCATCTGTAGCCAGGTACTTGGGGTCCTATATAGGTGATGGATGAGATATGACTACGAGGCAGAGAAAAAAACCTGGAGTCCCTGGCATCTCTCTTTTCCACTTCTATCATCCTGCCTCTGAGCAAAACAGGTAGGTCTATTCAAATACCTATCTTTTTATACTTTCTCATCTTCCATCTAAATCCTCCATACCCTCCTCCAAGTGCTGCCCCTCCCTGGGATTTATTTCCATTTCTAAATTGCCTCAGTACATTACAGGAAATGCTGCTTCCAATCCCAGTTCAACCACCTAGCATGGCATGTGGGCAAGTACCAACACCACCCTTAATAAGGGGTGATGAGCTTGGCCCCAATGCTCAGTGGGCAGATGGGATTTGACAGCTGGTGGTGTTCCAGGCCCTGCCTAAAGGAGAACTGAGATGCAAGGTTCCAGAATCCTCTGTTCCCTCTCCTACAAGCAACACCCAGAGTCAAGGCCAATGTCCATGCTGAGGTTTGGTCCATGCAGGGAAAACCAACTGTCCTCCAATCTTGTTTTGGGACCTCACATTTTCTTTTCTTTTTTTTTTTTGTCGGCCGTGGGGCTTGAACTCTGGGCCTGGGCGCTGTCCCTCAGCTCTTCAGCTCAAGGCAAGCGTTCTACCACTTGAGCTACAGCGCCACTTCCGGTTTTCTGGTGGTTTATTGGAGATAGGAGTCTCACAGTCTCTCCTGCCCGGGCTGGCTTTGAACCACAATCCTCAGATCTCAGCCTCCTGAGTAGCTAGGATTACAGGTGTGAGCCACCAGCGCCCGGCTTGGACCTCACATTTTCAAAGCAGCCTCACCTAACAAGAACTTCTAGCCAGGCACCAGTGGCTTCTGCCTGTAATCCTAGATACTCAAGAAGCTGACATCCAAGGACTGTGGTTCAAAGCCAGTCCAGGCAGGAAGCTCCATGCAACTCTTATCTCCAATACACTACCCCAAAAAAGCCGGAAGTGGTGCTGTGGCTCAAGTGGTACAGCACATGTCTGTCTGTCTGGTCTGCTTGCTCTCACCACATGGAAGTTAGGAGGAAATATCTGCTCCTACAAGGGCTAGCCAGTATAGGTCACCTGTCTGAGTAAGGCAGTGGCTACTTTGTTCTATCATGTGACATCCTAAGCTTTTATGTCTGATTCTTGTATCATCATTTAACTGATTCAAAATTCAGACAGGGAAAAAAGATGGCTGTTAATTTATTGGCTTTTGGGGCTGGGAAGGTGGCGCAGTGGTAGAGTGCTTGCCTTGCATGCATGAGGCCCTGGGTTCCATTTCCCAGCACCACATAAGCAGAAAAAGCTGGAAGTGGCACTGTGACTCAACTGGTAGAGAACTAGCCTTGAGCTGAAGAGCTGAGGGACAGAGAGTTCAAGCCCCACAACCAAAAAAAAAAAAACTAAGAATTACCTCAATACACTGAATGTAAGCCAAATACTCAAACATTTATACACACACACACACACACACACATTTGCTTTTTTTGTAGGCTGTAGGGCTTGAACTCAGGGCCTGGTCCTATCCCTGAGCTTTTCTGCTCAAGGCTAGCACTCAACCACTTTGAACCACAACTCCACTTCTGGTTTTCTGGTAGTTAACTGGAGATAAGAGTCTTATGGACAGCCAGGAGGCTGAGATCTGAGGATCACGGTTCAAAGCCAGCCGGGGCAGGAGAGACCGTGAGACTCCTATCTCCAATAAAACCACCAGAAAACCGGAAGTGGCACTCTGGCTCAAGTGGTAGAGCGCTAGCCTTGAGCTGAAGAGCTGAGGGACAGCGCCCAGGCCCAGAGTTCAAGTCCCACGGCCGACAAAAAAAAAAAGTCTTATGGACTTTCCTGCCTGGGCAGGATTTGAACCAATATCCTCAGATCTCAGCTTCCTACATAGGATTATAGGCATGATCCACCAGCACCTGGCTAACACACATACTTTCAAGAGAAAAATTTTCAAAAAGTTAAGCAACAAGGGCTAGGAAGGTGGCTCAGTGGTAGAGTGCTTGCCTTGCATGCATGAAGCCCTGGGTTCGATTCCTCACCACCACATAAGCAAAAACAAAAAAGCCGGAAGTGGCACTGTGTCTCAAGTGGTAGAGCGCTAGCCTTGAGCTGAAGAGCTGAGGGACAGCGCCCAGGCCCAGAGTTCAGGCCCCACGACCGGACCCAAAAGAAAAAAAAAAAAAAAAGTTAAGCAACAAGTTCAACAAGAAATGTACTCACTACCTTACTTATGTAACTGTAACCCCTATGTACAACACCTTGACAATAAAATTTAAATTAAAAAAAGAACTTCAGGAAAGATTAGGAGTGAGTGTAGAATGTGTTGCTTAGCTTGCACAATCTGTAGTTCCCCCGCCCCCACCAAAAAAAAAAAACTCAAAAAGTAAACGTAAGGAAACAATCTCAAGGGCTCTCTACTGTGTGTCATCGTTATCCCATAATGCAACGAGGCCCCTGGAAGCCATAAGGCCAGAGAGAAGAGAAGGAGACAGGAGACAGCTATAGCCAACATAACTCTTGGCACCCCTCCTCTCTGTGGGATACTCACCAAAATCCAATTTGTATAAAACCAACAGAAAATAGCTTCTAGTGAGGCTGTGTTCCAGGAGGATGCCTGAATTTACAGCTTTGGGAATCCATCAGATTTCCAAAGGGGGCTGTATTAACCATCCCCTGGGACTCCACAGCACAGTTAAGGTTTCTAAGAATACCCTTAGGTTTTAGGGTAAGAAAGGCCATCCCAGAACTCCTGAACCACTGCAATTCTAAGACAAGGAGGATGGAGGAAGGGTTACTGCCCACACTAGTGGGCATCCAACTGGGCTGAAGATCTGCCGCTGTCCCTAAGGGTACTGCTGTAATGCAATCCTCTGGACCCACAGTCATACACAGAAAGGAGAAAAGGAAATTCCAGCCAAGAATAAGCTAGAAGATCGTAATCATCAAATGATGCAGGCTGGAGCTCCAGGAGAGGAGTGGAGGGGTAGAGAGGGTTATATCTCTCCTGCCCTCCTATAATCTGCAGCATATCTACTCTACAGGACCCCCCTCTTTCACAAGATGCCTTCCATACCACTGCCCAGAGCCCGCCCATACCGTGGCCAGCTCCTGTTCACTGATACTTCTGGGGGCACCAGCTTTCTTCTTCATGCATGGCTCTCCCATAGTCACTTTGCCATCCCCTTTGGCGTAGCTGTGCACGGTGAGAACTCCTGTTTGCCCCTGAGCTTGGCAGGAAAGAGGATCACTGGTTTCCGAATCAGAAGAGGCAGAATCTCGAGAAGAACTGGATCCCATGCTAGAAGAAAATTTCTTTTTGGAACTGGAGAAGACAAGACGTCCTCCTATGGAAGCAGGATTCACAGAAAGATCCAGGGCAGCTGCCTCTTGTTCCTCTTCCTCATCTTCCTCTTCTAATTTGACGTTTTTGAGCTCTTCAAATTTGACTTCAGTCGAGTCAGAGTAATCTAAAACAGCAATGTATTTGCATTAGACAGAGCCAAGTTCCTCCTGTGTGTGTGCACTTCATGAGGGCAGAGTGGGAAAGCATGAAGCACGTAAGTGTAAGTGGGACTTGATTTCAAACCCAGGCTTTGTCACTGATGAGGCCATTGTGTGATAGAAGTATCTGCTCAGGCCTCCAGTTTCTTCCTCTATTTGTCAGATGAGGATGCTACCACTTATTTTCAGGGCTCCAAATCTAATTCCCAGATATAATGTGGTACAAAACCACATCAGCAAGCTATTAAGCAAATGGCAGCTGCCTCTTCCTTGCAAGTCTCTTGCAGAAAATGCAAGCTTGCACTCAGTAGCCACGATTACTCCAAGCTAGAAAATCTGCTGAGAAGTCAACTCAGCCCCAGGATCTGAATCCATGAGTCTGCCAGCAGACATAACAAATTTCTTCAACCTGACCAAAACTAAGACAAGTCACTCCTAAACAAAACCACTCTCAGTGATCATCTGAATGACTACTCAGACATACCACTTTCTTCAGACACATGGCTCCCCCAAACTCTAAGTGAACAAATCCTAAAATGATAGGCACCTCCTCAACTTGATTGTTGTACACAACATACACACATCAAATTATCACACTGTACCCCAAAACATGCAATATTATGTACCAATTAAAAAGCAAAATTAAGTTGCTGGGTGCCGGTGGCTCAGGCCTGTAATCCTAGCTACTCAGGAGGCTGAGATCTGAGGATCACGGTTCAAAGCCAGCCCGGGGCAAGAAAGTCTGTGAGACTCCTATCTCCAATAAACCACTAGAAAAACCGGAAGTGGCGCTGTGGCTCAAGCAATAGAGTGCTCGCCTTGAGCTGAAGAGCTGAGGGACAGCGCCCAGGCCCAGAGTTCAGGCCCCACAACCGGACCCCCTCCCCAAAAAAAAAGAAAGAAAGAAAAAGCTGGGTGCTGGTAGTTCACGCCTGTAATTCTAGCTACTCAGGAGGCTGAGATCTGAGGATCACAGTTTGAAGCCAGCCCAGGCAAGAAAAGTCCATGAGACTCTAATCTCCAATTAACAATTAAACAAACAACAACAACCAAAAAAAATCAGAAGTGGAGCTGTGTCTCAAGTGGTAGAGCACTATATAGCCTTGAACAAAAAAAGCTCAGGGATAGCGCCCAAGCCCTGAGTTAAAGCCCCAGAACAGGCAAAAATAAATGAATAAAAGGAAAAATAAAAGATGCCAGCCAACCTGGGCTATAATAGTGAGTTCTAGGCACCCAAGGGTACATAGTCTGAAAATAAACCCTATCTGAAAATAAAATTAATAAATAACATGAGATGGCAGATAGTTCCATATTATCTCATTCTTCTTTATGAGTTGTTTCCTGGAAACACAGTTGTCACCCCTCTAATTTGCCAGACATCACCACCAGTTCACCTGGAGGTCATCATGCTGCTTCCCATCACCAGGCATTTGCCAGACTCCTCCTCTCTTGTGTGCTACATCTGCCTACCTTATCTCCTAGGAGTCACCTATACCAAAGTCTTCCATTTTCCCCTCACTCCTTGCCAGGCAGCAGGATGAGCTTTCCCTCCGTGCCTAGTCTGCCCTACATACTCCTCACATACCAATCATAGGTCTGCTCCCAAACCTGGTTCCTCCTATTTTTTTTTTTTTTTTGCTAGTTCTGGGGTTTGAACTCAGGGGCTGGGCACTGTCCCTGAGCTTCTTTTGCTAGCACTCTACCACTTGAGCCACAGAGCTATTTCCAACTTCTTCTGTGTATGTGGTATTGAGGAATCGAACCCAGGGCATCATGCATGCTAGGCAAGCACTCTACCATTTGGGGGGAGGGGGTTGGTTGTGAGGCCTGAACTCTGGGCCTGGATGCTATCCCTCAGCTCTTCAGCTCAAGGCTAAGTGCTCTATTGCTAAAACCGCGGTGCCACTTCCGGCTTTTTCTGCTTTTGTGGTGCTGAGGAATTGAATCCAGGGCCTCACACAGGCGAGACAAGCACCCTACCATTGAGCCACCTTCCCAGCTCCCCACTCCTATTATTTTTGATGGAGCATTTAATATGGTCTTGAACATGGAACAGACAGGGGTGTGGAAAAAGCATCATAACTCACCTGGGAAGGGCAAGCCGTCTTCCACTTGTCGCACAGAGCTGTGGGTGGGCCTCACTGGGGCGAGGGCAGCCTGGCACTCTGTCATCTCATACTGTCCAGAACTCAACTCCTCCTTGGGGAAGAGTTCACTCTGACTCACCTCCTGTGGTATTTCGAGACAAACCCGGTGCCTCTTTGTCCCAATACGATGCTTGGCCAGACTGTAAAGAAAAAAAAAAACTTGTAAGAGCCAACCTATCCCACATACTCACATACATCCACATAAAACCCATAATACATGGCAAGAACCAAAACCCTGGGCCAACTCTTTCTTGCTTATATGGCCCAAGATAAGGGACCTCACTGTTCTAAGTTCATTCTGTCATCTAGAAAGTACAGGTAGCTGGGCACCGGTAGCTCATGCCTGTAATCCTAGCTACTCAGAAGGCTGAGATCTAAGAATCGCATTCAAAGCCAGCACAGACAGGAAAGTCCATGAGACGCTTATCTCCAAGAAAACTAGAAGTGGTGCTGTGGCTCAAGAGGTAGAGTGCTAGCTTGAGCTGAAGAGCTGAGGGACAGGGCCCAGGCCCACAGTTCAAGCCCATGACTGACAAAAAAAAAAAAAAAAAAAAAGAAATACAGGTTACCTCCACTCACCTTGCAAATTTGTTGTGAAGATTGCAAAGATATATATTGCCAGGTCTATACTACATGCCCAGTCAATGACCTCCAGTCCTTCTTGCACTCAAAAGCTTTACATGGCCAAGTTTTCTCCTTTATAAAACACTCGGACAGGCATCAGTGATTCATGTCTGTAATCCTAGCTACTTAGGGGGCTGAGATCAGAGGATCATGGTTCAAAGCCAGCCCAAACAAGAAAGTCCATGAGACTCTTATCTCCAACTAACAAAAAAGCCTGAAGTGGAGTTGTGGTTCAAGTGACAGAACATTAGGACTGAGCAAAAAAATCTCAGATACTGCCCAGGCCCTGAGTTCAAGCACCTGGATATAGCTTGGTGGTAAAGTTCTTGTTTAGCAAGGGCCTGGGTTTGAGCCTTAACACTATCGCCAAAAAAACACCAACCATGATGTGCTGAGAAAGAAATCAATTTGGGGGGGCAGGAGTGCCCTGCATTGCATGCCTTGCACCTCTTGCCCTCTACAAGCTGCATATCTTCATTTCTAAGTAAAAGCCACAGGAAGAGCTAGAATACTCTGGGTCTAAAGGCTCTAGAGACCTGGGCACTGGCAGACTAAGAATTATGGTTGGAAGCCAGCCTTAGCAGAAAACTCCTTGAAATCCTTATCTCCAATTAATCAGCAAAAAAAAAAAAAAAGAAAGAAAGAAAGACAGACAGACAGACAGACAGAAGTAGAAGTGTGGCCAAGAGAGAACACAAAGCCTTGAGTTCAAGACAATACTAAAGGCTCTGGAGCCTTTGCCAGAAGACAACTCCCTCAGGTATGAATCTATCTCTGAGCCTGGTGCCAGTGGCTCAGGCCTGTAATCCAGCTACTCAGGAGGCTGAGATCTGAGGATCAGGGTTCAAAGCCAACCTGGGCTTATCTCCAATAAACTACCAGAAAACTGAAAGTAGTGCTATAGCTCAAATGGTAGAGTACTAGCCTTGAGCTGAAGAACGAAGGGACAGTGCCCAGGCCCAGAGTTCAAGCCCCACAACCAATTAAAAAAAAAAAAAAAAAGTAACAGGCTACAGGAGTAGAAGGCTATAGGAGCTGCCCAGATACCAGCAACCACACAGGGCTCCCAATTACCTTCTCTTCAGGTCCCCCTCCTCTCCATCCTCGATCCCCTCCATGTCCTCCTCTGGGCACTGCTCATTCACAGCTCTTGGGGACAGTTCACTCTCCTTCAGAAATTCGGCTGCTTCTGGCGTGGGCAGAGTATGATCAATCACTGTGCTGTCCTTCCCAGCTTTCCAAAGTTTGTACCTTTCTGGCTGGAACCGCCTCACAAACACATCCATGGAGATCTTCACCATATCCTTCCTGCAGGAGCACTGCCGCAAGGAATCCACAGGTGAGCATATCTTACCTGCTCCCACCCCACCGACATTCCATCCCACCCTTCCTCCTCCAAGTAGAAAAAAGTATGATATGGTTTCAGACCACACTCTTTCAGTTTACGGACTAAAGGGATATTATCTTTGCTGAGCTTTTGAATGTGAAGGAAGCAGGAAAAAAAAAAAAAGCTGAGAATTCATGGCGGGGGGTGGATCATCTGGGCACGATCGGTTAGAATTGAGTTGTTCACCCAGGGCCCAGAAAGGTAACAGCCACCTGTGCTTGGAGTTATGCAAGCCAGGATCACAACAGCCCGTTTACTACCTTGCATTAAAGGTCCAACGCTAGGGCTGGGAATGGGGCCTAGTGGTAGAGTGCTTACCTAGCACACATGAAGCCTTAGGCTCGGTTCCTCAGTACCACATACACAGAAAATTCCAGAAATGTCAATTAGTAGAGTGCTAGCAAAAAAAAAAAAAAAAAAGCTCAGGGACCATGCCTCCTGGGCCCCAAGCATAAACTGCTAGACTGGCACCAAAAAAAAAAGGGGGGAGGCTGGAAGATGGCTCAGTGGTAGAGTGCTTGTCTTGCAAGCATGAGGCCCTGGGTTCGATTCCTCAGTACCACATAAGCAGAAAAAGCTGGAAGTGGCACTGTGGCTCAAGTCATAGAGCGCTAACCTTGAGCTGAAGAGCTGAGGGACAGCGCCCAGGCCCAGAGTTCAGGTCCCACGACCAGACCCAAAGAAAAACAGGTCTAATCCTGCTGCTTGCCTGTAATATACATAAACCCTTCAGGATTTCTCAAGCAAAGTCTAACCAGGCATGGTGGCAAAATCTACAATTAATCCCAGACTGAGACAGGAGGATTCCAGGTTTGAGGCCAGCACAGGAAATTTAGTGAGACCCTGTGTCAAAATGCAATTTTAAAAAGGTCCTGGGTTCATTCAATCTCAATACTGCAAAAAGAAAAGGGAGTGGGACCAGGAGCTGGTGGCTCACATCTATACTCCTAGCTACTTGGGAAGCTGAGATCTGAGGATTGCTTATGGTTCAGAGCCAGCCAGGGCAGGAATGTCTGTGAGACGCCTATCTCCAATATACCAGCAAAGAGCCAGAAGTAGAGCTGAGGCTCCAGTGGTAGAGTGCTAGCCTTAAGCCCTGAATTCAAGTCCAATACTGTCAAAATAAAAAGGGATATGGGAGTACGGAGGGGAATAGGGACCTCAGAAGGGCTTTAGCGAATACTATACACAGGTATGCTCTTATTGATGAATGAAGTGTGGAACATTATTTCTTACTTTCTAAAACAGAACACACTGAAAAAACTCTTTGTGAGTAACCGTTTCTGAATTCCAGCAGTTAAGAGACACATCCTGACACCAGACAATGCACCTAACATCAATGGCCTCACCCAAATGCCCTTGGTCATGGTATTACAGGAAGAATTCACTAGGACTTACCAACACAGCCTGCTTCCCATACTCAATCCACCGACGGGTAGCAAAATTGGTAGACTCGGCACAATTGAAGCCATGGTTGAACCCAGCATGGTAACCATAAGGAAAAGTGATCATAAATTCTCCAGCTTCTTGAGTGACCTAAAGAAGAACAGATTTAAAACAGCCGCTATACATGACAGAAAGCTAGAGAAGTGGACTTGTGCCTGAACTTTGACTCTGCCACCATTAACTCCGCAAGCAAGAATGAGGCATAAAATGAGCAGTGTCTCTGTCTTGTGTAAAAAACAAAGTCTTAAATACATCAGATGCAAACACGACTGTATACAATGAACCCTTCCTTCCTCCATACTAACCCTGTGCAAGGGACCTGACTTTTCTTCCCCCAGTACCAGATCTCATCAGGCCCACTTTTAGATGAAATCCCACCAGATGAAGTGATGAACTAGAGTCCAACTAAAGCAAAGACCACAAAAGGTAGCTTCGATATAAATCTGTTAACTTTCATACGTAAAATCAGCTTACCTTGTCAAAGGGAATGCCGTATTTCTTCAACATCAGAGGGGAAATCAGGGTCATCTTATGGCGGAGGAAAGCCTCACAGCTTTGAGAACTTCCTGGGAAAAAGCCTGAACAAAAAAAAAACAGGTCTAGGTTAATGAGTGGGCTCCACACTAGCTCTGTAATCCTAGAGTCACTTCATACTTGTGTATCTTATCTGGATGAAGGAGGATGAGTGACAAATGATCCTCTGGGCTCATTCTAAAATTCTGCAGTGAGCCTTTGGGCTCACTCCAACAGGGCACTGTCTGCATAGTCAAACTGAATTTGGAGGACTGGGATCATTTATATAAGCTGCCTCTGTTCTTACAGAGGTCTGAAAACTAGGACTTTCTCTAGTGCTGAAATACTAAAATCATACCCTCAGGCTTCGTAACCACATCTACCCTACGGTTCTCAAAATAGACTCTCTAGAGGAACAGGTCTGCTCAACACTGGCTTTAATATTTGAAGTACTGGCAGAAGAGCCATGACCAAAATGACTCATGTATTTCCTTGGGCAAAGAAACCCAGGCTGGGGAGAGTTGGGGAGAAATACCAGTAAAAAGAGTCAAAGAAAGCCAGGCACCGGTGGTTCATATCTATAATCCTAACTACTCAGGAGGCTGAGATGTGAGGATCTCGGTTCAAAGACAGCCCAGGCAGGAAAGTCCGTGAGACTCTTATCTCCAATAAACCACTAGAAACTGGAAGTGGCTCTAAGGCTCAAGCGGTAGAGTGCTCGCCTTGAGCTGAAGAGTGCAGGGACAGCGCCCAAGCCTAGAGTTCAAGGCCCACGACTGACCAAAAAAAAAAAAAAAGTCAAAGAAGTAAGGACAACATTTCTTCTTAGGCAGAGCAAAGAATCTAGTTAGCTCTGCTGAGATAGCCAATCTGGCAAATGAGCTCACAGATACACACAGTGCAAGCCTAAGAAAGGCCACAGACCACAGACAACAGATACTTCTGAGCAGAAAGCACAGTTTGTAGGAGGATCCATCCAACACCCAGAAAAGGCATGGTACCTTTGGCAAGGCGCTCCAACCGTTTTCCATGCTCGGGTGGAACAGAGTACCTGCAACCAAATAAGAGCATCAGACACTGGGCAGAGGATGACAGGAACTAAGGAGCTTGATTAATGTCTCGGGTGATGGATATGCCAACTACCCTTAACTAATCACTGCACATTGCACACATGTACTGAAATGTCATGGGGTATGAATACATATATTATACATATTATAATATGTCCATTAAAAATAAGAAGTGTGCCAGGTACCAGTGGCTCACGCCTGTAATCCTAGATACTCAGGAGGCTGATATCTGAGGATTGCAGTTCAAAGCCAGCTTGGGCAGAAAAGTCCGTGAGACTCTTATCTCCAATAAACCACCAGAAAACTGGAAGTGGTGCTATGGCTCAAGTGGTAGAGCACTGGTCTTGAGCTGAAGAGCTAAGGGACAGCGCACATGCCCAGAGTTCAAGCCCCATGACAAAAAAAAAAGTTTAAAGGGTTGGGGGAAATAAAGCATGGCATCATATACCTCTGTGATTTTCAAAATGCTCCCAGCAGAACTGGAAAGGGCTACCTGGGGGAGGCTGGAGCAATGGAAAATAGGGAAGAGATGTGGAGGAGACACTAAAGACATGGTACCTTATCAGCTGCTGAACCCATCTTCTCTTCATCTCCATAAAAGCTATACTGATTACCTAATAATTACTCCTCCACCTGGTGGGGTGTCTAGACATCACAGAAGCTGCTTTTCAGAAAGAAAGAGAGAGACAGAGACAGAGACAGAAAGACAGAGAGAGAGAGAAAGAAGAAAGGATGGAAGGAAGGAAGGAAAATAATGCCTAAAACAATTTTAATTAAACTTTTGCAAAACTATTCAACTTTACATTCTGAATTCACAGCAACCTTATTTCACCCTTTCTTATATATGCTGAAGAATATTTCAGCAAGGCACATGCTTGTGGTCCCAGCTTAGGGGAGCAGCTGGGTTTGGATTGAGGCAGGGATTGGCTTAAGCCCAACAGTTCAAGGCTAAAAAGCAAAATAAACCTAGGATCCTCACTCAAAAAACTCTAACCCAGGGCTGGGAAGGTGGCTCAGTGGTAGAGCACTTGCCTTGCATGCCTGAGGCCCTGGGTTCAATTCCTCAGCACCACATAAG